TGAGCCGGGGGGATTTTACAGAGATGCTCCCCAGCACTGCTGAGGCCTCTTACCAAAAGAGTTTCCAACACAGATTTTAAAAAAAGAAAACAAATGTTTCCCACAGGACATCAGGAAGCCGGCTTTAGAGTAATAATTTAGCCAGCTAATCATTCCTTCTTTCTTTATTCCTAATTAAACACTATACCTTTGTATAAAACATCTATTACCGGGCAGTGTTTAAGTTAAGGCATCCTAAGATGACTTATATGAATGTGTCACTTCCTTGTATTGGTTGAGTCTAGCTTTCCTTCCTGCAATAAAATATGTGGAAGAGAGAAAAAAAACGAGAAGAAAAAAAGAAAGCTGATATCAACTGACACTAGGATAATAAAATTAGCCGATGGGTAACACTCCCAGCTACGATACGGCTGGCTCGCATCCTTTTGCTTCTTCCAGAATGTTATTTTTGGGAAGTGTTACTATTTAGAGTCACGGTGTAGCTCTCAAAAAGGCACCACAGATGCCTACGTGTATTTAATTCTGCGCCCGGAGGTAAAACACACATGAGATTTCCTAACGCCGTAAGTGGCCCTGTTGCCCAGGAGCCTCTGGGGAGGCCCTGCTGCTTTTCCTAGCAGGATGCTGCTGCCCGTGGAGCAGCCCATGGAGCTGCTGAGCGCCCGGGGCAGAAACGGTGCAGACCGGGCGATTTTGGAGCCCGCGGGTCCCCGTCACCTTCCCGGCCCTCAGACGCCGTCTCCAGGAAAGGGTGGGCCCTCAGCACCACCGTATTGGCGAGGAAGCCTCCGGTGTCACTTCCTAAGCGAAGGAAACGCTAATAATGTCGCATTCCTCCAGCACTTACCGCTGCGCACGTCAGTAGATATTAAACTGGGATGGGAATGAGTAACCTTCCTCTTCTGGGTTGTTCTTTGGCTGTGACTGTCATGGTGCTCCCCCCAGCTATTTAAGAACAGGCGTCTCCATATCCTAAAGCAGAAGCCGGGTCGTGGCTACGAAGGACTGGCCATGGGCTCCGGTGACACTGACCTCCTTGCGCTCGGCCTCTCCCCGTGACCACAGCCCCGTGTCCAACCCTGGGCACAGCCTCTGCAGTGGGGGCTAAGGGAGGGGGGGTTTCAAAACGCTAGTGACAGCAGGAAGATTTGAGGCCACGCTGGGTTATTTTTTCTTATGTTTGCACAAAAGATTTCTTGCAGAGACCTGTGCACCACCCGTCCTGCACGGCAGCCGAGGAGGGGAGAGGTGCAGCCCAAGCGGGCAGGGAAAAGCGTCTTACATTTCTTCTGTCGCTTGCTCCGGGGCCCGCATCCGTGTGCCTTCTTTTAGCCTGCTGCAGAAATCCTCATCTATCTGGACTCCAGGGTAAGGGGAGGCACCTGGGGGTGACAGAGAAGGGAGGCCGATGAGCTGGGGCTGTGGTGGGGGGAAACATCCCGGCCTTCCGGATGGGCGTTCTGTCAGCCCCGTGGTGTTAACTGGGTAAGATGCTATGGGAAAACCAGGGTTTACCCAGGTAAAATCAGGTAAATGGTAGATGGGATGCTCCGCTTGCAAGACTGGAAACCTGGGCCTTGGGCAGCAGCAGGGCATTCACCTGGCTGAATGTCGAAAATAAATAAAAAGGGATTTGGCTTAAAAACCAAATGCTCAACAGCAGCTCAGAAATAAATAATGGTTTAAAATCAAATCATGGTGCATCTGCATTATTTCTCCAGCTTCTGTGGTCTTATTAGCAGCCTGATTGTGCTGCGGCCCTTTTCTCTTTTTTTTTTTTTCTCCCTCCCAAATGATCTAAAGGCAAAGGGAAAAGAGAGAAGGACAGAACAACAACAACATAAAAGCCCCTGTGAGAGTCAGTGCCCAGGTTGCAGCCGCTGGGACGCTGAGAAAAAAAAAATAGCTGAGATTGTGAGGCGCACCGTAAAATCCCGAGAGCTGGCAGCCCGGCCAGCAACATGTGTTTAAACTAATAAATGATGGATTGTGCTGAGGATTGTACAGTATTGTTTCCTCTGCCCTTCTCTCCTTTTGTCAGCCTCGGCGCTGAACCCAATTAACATTCTTCTATTATGACGGTCATTATTGTTCCCTTCCAGTGGACATTTTGTATCCTGCATCTCCAGTGTACAAAAAAGCAGGGGAAAAGAAAAAAAAAAGGCGGTGCTGGGGTTTGGATTTCGGATTCCACGCTCCAGTTCACCCCACGGCAGCATCTGGCTCGCGGTTTCCTCGCGGCCGCCCGCAGCGGCTCCCGCGCGGGGAAGCGGCCGGGCGCCGCGCGGCCGCTGGGTAGGTGCGGGTGGTCACACGCGCTGTCACCTCCCGGCTGCCCTTATCACACTGGGAGACATTCAAAGCGCTGCTTGTGCTGCCACGTGGGCGCTCACTGGCTCCCGTGGAGAAACGGAGCAGCTTTTGAGGGATGGAAACATCCACCTAGGTAGAGAGGGTGGCTTCTGAGCCTTTAATATTTAGAGTGAGCTCTTGTTCCCCTGCACAGTCGATGCCATAGTCACACTCCCGAGTGCGCCGCCTTCATTCGAGCAAGAGCTGCCAGCCCTGGCTGCCGCTTGCACCTGCAAATCTGCCAGAATTGGGAACCCCGGAGCGCAGAGCTGATACCTCAGAAGCACACAGCGGGGTACATCCCACAGGCTCCTTGCTACATTGCAAGACTTCAAAAATGTGCTATATTTTCCCATCAGGTCCTGAGACCATCCATAACTGTGCCCCATCTGTCAAGCACCGAGACCGCCCAGGCCGCTGCCCTAAGAGGATCCACACCAAGGGTTGCTGCAGCAGGGAGATGGAAGTTTAAGTCTGGGTTATGATAGACACAGGTGCTTTTTTGCACCTGTTTTTTGCACCTGCTCAGATAATTTTGTCATTCATTAAGCTGGGCAAGGTTGCTGTTCTCTCCAGTGGTGTTACAGGCATTAAACTTCATTTCACAGTGCTCTGATACTAGTAATCCCCACACTATCTATCCCCACGCACGCCACTGATGTCTGATTTAGTTATTTCCTAATTCAAGCCAAGGCAAAAATTCTTCAAAGTTAATGGATGTTTTTCCACAGACTGCAGTGATCATTAGTCAAGTCCTTGCTGCAACCCTATTCTCTGCTTTCAGCCCCCAGCATCAGATTTAACGTACCCAAGGAGAATATCTCCCACAGCAATACCCCATATGACCACACGTCGCTTTTTGTATTGTAGATTTTATCAAATATGGATTCTGGAGCCATCCACTTGAGAGGAAGCCGAGCCTGAAATGGAGTGGAGAAACCTTACTGTTATTTTCAAAGACTAAAAGAATTTAATCATAGCTGAATCAACTATATATTGTTATATAAATAATTACCATTCAAGAAGGAGCCCGTGGGATTTCTTTACAGACAATAAACTCACAGTCATTCAGACCCTATCGTAACAGATTTTCAGAATAAAAGGCTGTTTTCCCCTTCCTAAATACATTTTTAACATATGTGTTGCAGAAAAAAAAAAGAAACTGTGAGAAGAGTGACTAGCCCTTTTCTTTGCAGTGTTGAGAGAACTGCTGTCTCTCGCCAGCATCCTAGGGATAGGGGAGAAAACCCTACCCAACTGTAGGTTGTTTTGTCATAGTATCAAAAGTGGGCAAATTTGGAGGCCCTGTCTTCCAGGACCACATCAACAACCCATGCCATCCCCATAGCACAGCCTGTTAGAGCCTCCTGAGCTCTAGCATCAGTCAGGTGAACAACGTGAGTAATGGTTCACAGCCATTACATGGTGCTCTAAGGCTTTAAAGCTCTTTGAGAGGAGGGCGTAGCTGGCAGGTGGGTGAGACATCCCAAGGAGATGCTCTGCACGAGTCCTAATTCCTCCCCCCATTTCCCTGGACAACCGTGGGCACAGGCACATTTTGCTGAGCTGAAGTTCACTGCAGATGCTTGGACTCACTATCTGCCATTTATTGGGAGAGTGAGAAGGTCAGACAGGCTGCCAAGTTTTGCTGGGCTGGAGCCCTTCTTGGCTCACTGTGTGGATACATGGAGGGACACACACCTTCTTGTGCCGGGACTGGTTTCCAGAAGGCAGTTCACTTACTAAGGGCTGAGAAATAACACTGCAGTGCCAGTCGAGAAATAAATATCTAAAAGATGTCTAAAGCCTTAAAAGACAAGAACTGTGAAACGGTTAGCATTTCCAGGCCTTAAGGTGGAGGACAGAAATGCCTGCTGGATACACAAAGGCTGCTGGATTGCTCATCTTCACATAAAAACTGCGATAGCTTTCAAACTCTTTTAAGTTCAGGAAATGTAAAAGTCTACAGAACGTTTTGGTGGACAGCTTGAAATGATATGTTATAAACAATTGGATAAATAAACAGCATCTTGACTTACGTCTCCTTTTCTCACATAATCAGGATTCTTATAAATATCTCTTGCGAGGCCAAAATCACAGATCTTCACTACATTGTTCTCAGATAAAAGGATGTTTCTGGCTGCCAGGTCACGATGAATACACTATAATAAAACAGTTTCACAATCAAACTGCATTTCCTTAATCCTGCCCACAAATTTCCTGACTCTCTCCCATATCCTTTTTGGAATTATTATTATTATTCGAGATATCAATGTAACTTTTTTTAGGGAAGTTGACAATAGTTTACATGAAGTTACTGTAAACAGTGGCCATTCTTTACAGAAAGTATTTCTCCAAAACAGAAAGTCATAAATATTGAAGCCCCTTGGTGTTTCTAGGGAAAGCACCAGGCTGTTTGGGGCGCTATAGCTAATGCGTGTGGAAACTAAAAAAAAAGGAAAAAATAAAACACCCAAAGAACTTCTCTGAATGAATTAGCTTGACCCATTGCCTTCCACTGTAACCCTGTATTTATGGAGCATGAAGACTCAGATAAACACACCATTATATTTAGAACACCAGGAGGAAAACTGCTCTTCCTTTGGGACCTCCACCAAAGAAGGTGTCACTAAAATGTAGACATGATTTCACCTCTGAATCTGATTCTTCTGTGGCAAAAAAAATCCAAGCATAAAACTAACCTTTCGGGAGGACAAGAACTCCATGCCTCTGGCCACCTGAAAGCTGTAAGAAATCAGGTCTTCCATGGTGAGGGGCAGTTTGTAGAACTCGTTGGAGTCTGAAAACAGTTGAACGCACCGTTTGTTGTAAAGGTTGCCCATAAGGAAGCTATTTTCCCCCTGTCTTACTGATCTTACTATTCCCATAAATCCAGTCTTTGTTGAGTAGTATTTGGAGGTCAACCCACTGTCACGGGAAACAAAAATAGTGGTTGCTTTATACCCCGCACTTTGGACACTGCTGTGTTTTCCCCAAAGATAAGGGGGCAGTCAGAAGAAACAATCACACATTTTCCTGTCAGATTTAGTAACCCTGGAAATAATCTTTTTTTAAATCTTCTACCCGCTAGACATGACCCTGTGAGTGTCTCCCACGGATGTTTATTAGGGTGATAAACGAGGAAAAAAATTTCAGGGATGCACAGTATGTTGTAAAAATATCACAGACCGCGTAGTGACAGGAAGGAATTAATACCTACCCGCCTCATCCTCCTCCACATCGCTCAGGCTTTTATCTTCCTGAAAGCCTGAGCTTGCAATGCTCTCGCTGCTGGTGACACTGGCCAACCTTTGTTTTTTGCCTTCTACTGGTTCAACATCCTTTTTCATTTGCTCTGTTTGCATAGAGTCCTTCAAACAGACAGAGAAGACATCAGCATCAGAGCTGCAGAAGGGCCAGAGTATGAATCAAACCAGACTTTTGCCTTATTTCTACCAGGAAAAATACTCTCCAGTGACACGTGCTAGTTGAATCTCCCACTTGGCTTGTAAGTCTGGCCTCTCTATGTCAAACTATGCCAAGAGTGGCTGCTGCGGGAAAGACTGCCCATCTTCCCACCCTCTCTCTCCGGTGGCTCCATGACATGGTCAATGAGGATTTAATGGGAAACATGCAACATTGCTTGGAAAATGTTTTCCTGCTGCTGCCTCGAAAGCAGCCTCACCGCTAGGCCACGCTCCTGCCCCTTCTCCCTTCTCCCTGGGCCTTGGACACCTCACCCTCCTGAGCCTGCCACTCCGTCCCGCTAGCCCAGGCCTCCATGAAGTTAAGGTGGCCCCTGACCAGAGGGAGAGACTTGTGTGAACGCTCACAGGAAGAGGGTCACATTTGTGCTCCCTATGGAGCTGCTGATCCCCAGCTGCAGGCTGATCCACAAACAACTACCTTTTGAAGGAGGTGTAGCTTTTCATGTAGAGTCCAATGAGGATGACCCTGGGAACGAGCTCAGCTAGAGTCTTTTGGAGACAGAGGTCCTCCTACTTATGCCCTACAATAGAGTTTGTGAACTCTTAGGAACTAAGAGCGTCTGAGTTTTTGTCCCAGCAGAGCAGGGGTTTTAAGGACGACAGTTCTGGCTCTAGGCTCCTCAGATCCTTCAGTCCTTTGGGGGATTTTGCTGCATGAGCACAGGCAGAGTTGGCACACGTAGGTCTACGTTTGCAATAATGAGTACACAGATGATCTGGCCCAGAGGGCTGTGGGATGTGAGGACAAAGCTCTAATTTCTTTGATTCTTGATAGACCTTCTCCTCACACAATAAGAAGATTATTTGTAATTCCCTGAACATTAGGGTGTCTCAGAACATTAGCTGTAAATGGCATTATCTCATTTGCTTTCCCACCGGTACCGGATTCAGTGGGCAAAACCACTTCCTTCGGCTCCATTGACACAGGCCTCTGCAGAGAAAAAATGGGTTTGTCAGCAGAGGGGAAAGAGCATGTGGGGACACTTTGGACTGGGTTCATTTCCTCTCACTGGAGATGTCTCCATTTGAATTAGTCACATCAGGCTCCTTGCATGCCTTGTGGAAAGAAATGAGCCCTTTCTTGGCGCATTTCGGTATCCTACACTGAACTTTTAAAAGAGGTCAGGTGAACTGAACCCAAACCCACTTATTTCTCTCCTTGGGTTATAAGAGCAGCTAAGGTGACATGCTCAGAGGCTGACATCTACATGAAGGACATTTACTTTAGCAAGATGAGTAAGGAGTGTCTCCTTACCTTGCTGGAGCAGAAAAAATTCCTCTTGCTTTTCAGATAATTTGATAAATTTCCATACTTGCAGTATTCAACAATCACCATCAAAGGCCCTGGTAAAAAGGAAAATGCCTTTTGAGCAACTTAAAGCAATACAAGGGGTCATTCTTTCTGCAAAAAGTCCGTTCTGTCCATAGTTATAACTGGAATCCAGAATAATTAATGATATGCTTTAATGAAGAAAAAAAGCAATATGGAGGGCATTGGGCATGTTTCTGAAAATTAGAGCAGGTCCAAATTTTTGAAATATGGGTGACAAACATAGGTTAACATCTTCATTTCCTCTTTGGAACAGTTTGAATTCAGACTGAAGTCCTGCAGACCACACATGCTAAAATAGATGATGTAACTAAAGAAACAATATCTCATATTAGGTCTTTAGTTTTTTTAGTGGAAGATATTGAGGGCTTTTACCAAAGTTACCCTATGATTCATCATTCTTAATCAACATCTGATCACAAGGAACCCCATGTTCCCAGCCTTATCAGATCATGCTTAACCCAAGCTTAGCAAGGAGGTGAGAGAAAGGCCCCCTTTTCACATTGATGTTAAATGTGAAAGAGAGCATTTATATAGGGAAAAGGTTTAATCACTCTGTAGGATGATTAGAAACCTCTTTTCCTCTTTTTGTCACCAAATAGAAAAAGAGCTCAAATATTTCAAGTCAATAACTTGACCTTTCAAGTCAATAACTTGACCTCTGGACAATAAACAGCGTGGCCAACGAACGTGATTCACACTTATTTTCAGTGCAGTGCACACTTTCTTTTACCTCCATTTTTTGTGCAAGCTCCCAATAAATTCACAATATTAAGATGATGACCAATGTGGATCAGGATCTTCAGTTCAGTCATCAGAGCTTTGTATTCACTTGCTGTGGCCCCATCTGCAAATGCAAAATAAGGTAAATGTGAAATGGCAATGTACTGGTCCTCGTGAGCTATACCACTTCTTATCTCTTTCCAGTGGAATAACACCTATTATTGGATGTACTTCCATGTGTTTTTCTGTTCCTCCCTACTCAGCATCCTCTTATTTGCAATAAAACCCATAAAAAGAATTAGACACTCAGCTTCCTCCCAGGAGACTCTTTTATATTTGGAACTGAGAGAATTTTTTTCACAGGAATAGTTTTGTAGTTTCAGCCAAAAAAATGAAAGAAAAAATAAAAAAAGCCTTTCAAGACTTTAATTAACTCAATATAGGGTAGATTTCAGCTGACTTGACTTCAGCCATTTCAGAGTGAGACACTAGCCTGAACTAATTAAGCTCTCAGCAAGTTAGTAGCAAGAGCAAGGCTTTTCCAGAGGTTGACTGAGTCATCAGCTTTAGCCATCTACATCAGGAAGAGATGAAGCAGCCTTTGGTAATGTTTGTCTGATTCTGTGCATTATACAGGAAGCCAGGTTTTTTTAGCCTAGACCCAGCAGCTAACCTTTTAACCTATAGCTAGGTGACTAAATTTCGCCTGTATTAGTTGTAATTAATATTAATAGTAATTGTAGTGATTTTAAAAAAAACACTATACTAAACCCGAAAGATTCAATTTGGTGTTGAGTGATTTTTTAATTTCATTTTGGTAAGAAAACAGCAAAAAATATTGATTTGGATAAACCCAGAAAGACTTTTTTTTCAGTTTAGTGACACTGAAGAGCAGAAAGTGGAAATAATATGGACTTAGATCCTTAAAAGGCTTGGTTTTAATATCTGATGGGAGACCATATGTTTGTTTGTTTGATTGGTTGTTTTGGTTATCCTGTGCAAAACATGTCATAAACCCAGGGACACCCTATTCACCTATACAGCTGGTGATGATTCCTCTACCTCATTGTAATAAGGTGAGGACAAAGCCCCTGAATGGCCGTGATAATCCTAGATAATCTACTGAGGATGCAAAGAATGGGACAAGTCTCACCCATCTTCACATGATAACAGTGAAGATGCCAACATAGTCACCAATGGCTCTCTTCAAAGAATAGAAAAACATGTGGTCACCTCAGCAAATGAGTTCTCCCCACTGACAGTAGAAGGTGTGGGTGACTAGGTCAGGTACAAGCATGTCCCCTGCACACACATCACATGCAGCAGGATGAATCCCACCAAGGGCCTCTTCTGGCTGCCTTCTGCTCCCATCTATTCCAGGAGCAACCCCTGCTGCCCTTATGCAGCTGGCTGGCACAGAAAGCCCCTTGATGTACACAGAAAATTGGTAGACCTCTGTGCTGGCACATATGTCTGCGTGCTGGCAAAGCAGTTCAGATATAGGGGTCAGGCAGTGACCCAGGTGACAGACAGGCCATCCGTGGGGACCAGCGAGGTGGCAATGGGGGGAAGCATCACAGATGGTTATTGCCCCACTGCTGCAGAAGGTCTGGATAGGGACTAAAGCTTTATTTCCCTCCCATTTTCCAAACATTTGGCACTAGCCAACAAGGCATTTTGGTGCTTTTGGAACACGGAAGAAGATGAGAGAGGTTTGTAACTGTCATCTGCTAGTTCTCTCCTTTGGGATGATCCTGGATATCATAGTAGCAGGTACCACCGCCTCCTAAAGCATTTGACATAATACTGCAGAGTGAGCTTGCTGGCTACAGTATCAGTAAGGCACATTCTAAAAGGAGCAAAACCCAGCAGGTTTCTGCCGGTCAGAAATGATCTGATGAAATATTTTTAGGTTGGGTTCTGCAGAGCCTGACGGTAGGCCTGGGAGTACTGTACATGTACATGTACAAGCTCCATGGGCTTGAAATACCAAGTACAGGTTTTCTGATAAGCAAACAGGCAGCACTGGAGCCTGGAGCCACCGGGTAAGATGCATATACTCAATCCATGTATAAATAAATGCAGCCAGCTGAAAGCAAGAGGGATTCAGGCTTTACCTACACAACAGGGGATGTCCTTGCAGAGAATGGCTCTGAGAAGGATTCAAGGATTAACACAGATAAGCAATGCTGCATAAGCTCCCAGGGCAATGCAAAAAAAAAAAAAAAAAAAAAAAAAAGGCCAGATCTGATCCTTGTATATATAATTAAGGAAAAGCTAAATACATAGGACTGGATACCAAGAGGACTCTGGGTTATGGAATTGAGCCACTCCTGCTGCAGGCCACCACAGAGTATTATCCTGTTTGCTGACTTCCCAAGTGCCCTTTTCAAATTGATTAGGGTCTTCGTCCTTTCTGCTCCAATGAGAAATGGGCAATGAGTAGCTGGGAGATGATCTCGCTGCGAGAAGAGCACTGGTGTATGAAGAGCACTGGAAAAGGCCTTACACAAGCTGTGTCAGCATTCTCCTCCCCATGTAATGAGGCTGCAGACAGTTTGGAAGGGACACACCTGCACAGCAATTCAAAGACTGAGACAACTCAATCTGTCTAGCTTTTTAAAAGGACCTTCATGAAGAAAAAAATGTGGGCTTTATGTAATCTAATAGTTCTAAAGTCAGAACCAGAAGTTAAAGCCAGATGCATATTACACATAAAGTACTCATTTTTAACAGTAATGTGATTAATCATTAAAACTAATGACCATGGGAAATAAGGTGTCTTCCACCTAAGTGCTGTCAAATCAGGGTGGATGCCTTATGCTTCAGCTAGTTTTGCTACATACTCACTACAAGGTCAATATAACATAATGATGCAACAGAGAATATGCAGGAAATCTAATTTTCCTTTTGGAGCCTGCAAAATTCTGTCTTCCATTCTGCCTGGTATTTAAAGTAGTGGAATAGATTTTCAAAAAAAAAAAAAAAAAAGCAATTCTATTCTATTTCATAGTTTGCCTTTTAACATTTCACTGGAAAATTTAAAATGGCCTGAAACTTGGCGTACACATTTTTGACACTTCAGATATTTTATGGTATGGGGTAACATCACACACTCTTTCTTTTGACAAAATCATATTAAAAATGTGACATGATATTGAGGCCCATCTTCTTCTCAGTGCAGCTTTGCAGCAAGATACCTTTCAGCATTTTCACTGCAACTATTCTGCAAGTTGGTGATTTCTTAATTCCAAACGCAGATGCTTGTACCACCTTTCCAAAAGCTCCATGTCCAAGTGACTTTCCTGAAAAGAAAGTAAATTGGAGATATGTACATTGGTAAGAAAGAAATTTTGTCAGCAAATGATTTCATTGATAATGAATTGGAAATTATGCCCTATGCTAAAAATGTATTCACAAACTGCTAAGTCAGATAGTTTTTTCTTTTATTGAAAGAATAAAAGAAAAACAAAAGAAAAAGTATTGAAGACTAAGCAGACAAATTGGAAGACAGTCACAGAGTCATTGAAGAGCATAAATGATTAAAAGTGATGCTAAGCAAATGCAGCCATTCCCATTGGATGTACACTGGCTCCTGGCACTCTTATGTTCAGTTTATCTTTGCTAGCAGGAAACGTTGCTCCTCTCTTCACTGAGCACACTGCACCATGCAGCAGACTGGGACGGTGCGAGGTGCGTTTGCAGCATGATGCAGCTGCTGCCTAAGCTGCAGGTTGCTACAGACTTGGGTAATTTTTACAAGTCCTTCTCCCTTCCTTCTCCCACAAGGTGCCTTAAGATAACCTTCAATCCAAGGAGACTGCAGTGCCATCCCTGAAATACACCTGCAACCCCCTCATGCACTTCTCTGACAAGCTCCTATGATTAGGTAATGGTAAGAGACTACAAATTTGAGCAAATGAGGCCCTTAGCTTTGTGCAATGAGGTCTGAAGGGGTTCAGTGAGATGAGACCTGGAGTGACAAGGCATAGGTTATCTCATGATGGGTGTGATGCTTCCACATGTCCAAGGGCAGATGCTGACACTGGCACTGTGAGATCCTTATCATGCTGCACAGACCCCGGAAAAGCACCTAGCGGTCCCTGTGAAAAAACAGGTGGCCTCAGTAAAATCCCCTGATGAACTTCAGTGAAATTGAGTGTCCTTTTCCTATATGTTCAGAACCAGCTAAGGCTCTTGGAGTATTATTACTATTTTTTAAATGTTATGATGTTTAATGCCAATCCCATGATCTCTACAGTGTCATTCTTGATTCCCTAGTGTTGGAACCAGGGACTTTGCTTGGACCTTGCACTCACAGGCCAGACCGGTGGAGTTCTGGTCGGAGAGATCCTGTCAGCGTATTAACTAGCAATACATTTTAGATCCAAGTACCTGATTTCTGCTTGTGTTTCACCTTCAGCGGAACTTAGGCATATACACAGCAAGCAAAAGCAAAGTAGCAAACTTTGTAGCATAAAGAAAAAGAGCAGAAAATAAGACCAACTTTTTATACAAAACCATAGAATAAGATGTATCACTAAGGCCATTTTATATCTCAGATATGCACATGTGACACAGCCATAACCATAGGACAATTCCCCTATCCTATGGTAGATATTTAAACAGAATAGCTGAATCACTTCCAAAGGTGCCTGTTCGACCAGCTCTCACTAGGACATCTACATTGTAGATGTCTAAAGCTAAGTGAGAGATGAATCCCACCCAGACACTCACAAGTAGACAAAAAAGAACTGTCAGTTATAAATCAAATTAAATAGACACTACATTTTGTTAATTATATATCTCAACTCTAATTTTCCGTCTGTCTGCTGTTAGAAGGCAACAGCATTAGACATCAAAACAATGGAAACATGAAGTGGAATGTGCAAAACCGACAGCCCCTAGGAAATTATTCACCCCCAGATGTGCAAAAGTGTTGCAACTTTACAGCAAATAAAAGCCATGCATTTAAGCTATGTGAATGAAAAACACCAACAGACTTGAGCATTAGAGTTTTACATATAAATACAAGAGGATCAGTGCATATTTTTAAAGGTCTATAGTCACCTCCTCTTCCAGTTATTGCTTGTTCACTTAGCAGGTGTATAAGAGAAGCAGTATTAAGAGAAAAGTCTCAGCTTTCTTGGTGAACTGGAGCTCTTAGACCTTAATGGACTGGCAGTTTGTGGTTTGTACAAGGTGAAGCTACAGTTTAAGGTAATGTAACACCCACTCTACCTTTGTTTAATGCACAACTTTAATCGGTTTTCATCAGCAGTAACTCACTTCCCACATCAAGATAGGCTACTTAGTCACTACTTGGAAAACATAAAGCTCATAAAGCTGCACAAAGCTGCTAGCCTTTCATAAACGAGAATGAGCACTGGAAACAACACTTCCTTCTCTAAACAACAATTATGATTTAATGGGAAACTGCAATAACATTTGATGTATTGCTCTTTGTTGCTCCGCTATTGTTTTGGGTCCTACGAAATGTTAGTGTAGAATAGGACCACTCCAACTTCTTAGCATCAACAGATGGAGCTCCACGGTTGAATATGCAGATTGCACGTAGGACAAACCCAGCTCTAATATACTGCTCATGCAAAAGCCTCTTATATTAACACACAAAGTAATTACAAAATTAACAAACAGAGCAATTAAATACAGTAAAATCAAGATGTGCTGCCTCATCACAAACCTCAAACAACCACAACATTTGGGTTTGGTGTAGTTTCAGTTATGAAATGCTGCAGCATTTATATCCAGACCCGGGAAGCAGAGCTCTATTTAAACTTCCTGCACTTAACTTCAATTTCTTGGGACAATTCTAACCCAGTGAGCAGGTCACTCAGCTAAGGAGTTTTGAATCAGGAGGTTTTCATTTCAGGATTCTTAAATACAGGCCTGTATTTAAGCATGTGAGTTTCTGGATTGGGGCATTAGAAAAAAGGACCAGCAGATATCTCTCCCCTTTTATGTGGGAAGGCAGAGGCTTGAAATGTGTATTTGTTGCTGTGGTCCTGTGATGTAGTTTGAGCCATGTGGGTTTCCCCATACTGGAAATTTCCATTATGTTAAATATGAAAGTTCTCTGGATCAAAAGCAAAGGAAAACATGCTGATTTGTGTCAGACACGGGATCTGTAGGGTGTTAGAAGGCAGCAGAGCTCAGGGTGCTGTTTACCACTTCAGTGTTTGTTATCTTCCTGGATACCTGGATGCAGCAACAATCCCGAGAGCCCCTGTGCCACAGCTTCAGCAGGGTATGAGCTCTCATAAATTATGAGAGTCAAATCCAAGTGTAAGGTGAGAAATACATAGTACATAAACACTTTTGTTGGACTATAGGCTTATATCCAACCACACAGATGTGACTTATAGCACCAGAATGTTTCTGTCTTATGAAAAGATGACTTTTTTATCTAGCTCACATTAATCTAAATTCAATAGTAATTATCCTGGCTTCAGCAATGCCCATATGAAATTTTCTGTGAGTTTGTAGCTCTTATGGATGAAGGGAAAATCATGTTATATAAGCATTGCATCACAGCAACGGGCTCTGTGCATGTGTGCATGGGGAATATAGAAGGTAGAGGCTAAAAGGCTAGAGAGTTACATTACAAAGGTTACAGTAAATATGTATCCTGAGGATAAATAATGGAAAAAGAAAAACAGGCCTATCAGATGCTGGAAGGATTTGCATTTCTAAATAAAAATATGCTACAAATACATAGAACCACATTTTGTGTTTGTGAGACACTAATCCTAGGAGGCTGCCAAGGTTATTCAAAGACTGAGCCAACTGCCATGTAAGCAGGACTTGCACTGAGCTAATCTAGCATAGTGCACATACCCAGCTTCTCAGAATCTGGTTTTCATTCATTGTCAGCATTCTTTGTTTGTTTACACCAGTTCTTCCACTTTTAACTCGTCCTCAGGTCATCATTCCTCACCTCCAAGCTCTAAACAGTAACCCTGCAAGATGCAGGCTTTTATTAGTGTTTACGTTCTGTTTCTGCTCTTTTTTTTTTTTTTCCTGTGGGATTTATATCCAAATAAAGTGCGCATAAAGCAGAGATCACACTGTCTGCACACTGAGCTCTTGGTCCATTACTGGAGAAAGCTATTTCAAGAAGACGCTCAAAAGAAAGTTATGTTTCAGCATTCCCAGAATTGCGTGGGACAACTCTAATTAGTAGCAATGTATTTCAGCTCTCCTTATCCACATCTGCTCACCTTGCGACTTCCACCGAGCAAATTAAATGTGATCCCAACTGTATGCATGTTTTGATCACCTTCTGTCCCTGATCCCTGGAGGACAGGAGAAATTTGCTACAGTCCCCATCAGAAAGCAGGGATTTTCTATCTCTGGCTCTACAACCGCATGCCTGAAAGAACAAACAGCACTATTGCAACAGTATATCACTGATATGTTAATGTTGACCTCTTGTTAAAATCTGTGTGGTTTCTGGAGAGAAGCCGCAACTCCCAAATCCGGTCCTCACTCTCCTGGCTTTCCAGTTAGCACCACAGTAGGGTAAGCGAGTCAAAAAGGCTTCCAAATTCATGCCCTTTACTCTACAGGCAAGCTACCTGCAGGCTGAGAGTTTCCATCTCTATTTATGCATGGACTTTTGCAGAACATTCTTGCTCTTTGTGCTACACCAGCAAGGATGACTATAAATCTGCAGCACAGAGGAAAAACAGAGAGTGTGGCTTGGAGAGAGAAGGAAAGGAAGAAATACCAAGGGGTACAGGAAGATCCGTGGGGACCCATTTCTGCACAGGCCTTTTTCCAAATGAGTACTTAATTAGGTTACATGGGAAGACACTTACAGTCAGTGCCAAAGGCCAGGCTTCTGGCTCTGCAGAGAGAAGCTGCCAGGTCAACAGGCTGATAGGAACCTCTGCAGTTGCCCTGTTTTGATTCCCTGCTTTAAGGAACTCAATTTGCAAAAAACTACAGAGCAGTGATTACTGTCTGTATTTTAGTTTTCCTGTCTGGAGTCTGAATACACATATGGAAAGTGAGATAGATGCAGTTAGCCAGTCAGTCCTAGATGCTGTAATTCAGTCACGGAAAAATAACACTTTCCATGGATATCTCACACCTAACCCAGCAGAACATTGTGCTGCATGCCTAAAATATCTCCAGCTCTCCTTTGCCTACAGATAAAAATGCATTTCATTCAATAGCTGCAAACCCAACATGACTTATGCTAATATTACCTAGTTTTAGCCTTTCCCTCGCAATCTCCCATTTGCTGGCATCATAAGGCAGACGTTCACATTGTTCATCCAAGGGGACTTCATCAGGATCCATTATGATTGACAAGTAATTGGTCTTAATTTCAGAAGAATAAGGCTATAAAAGAAAGAATATTGCAAAATTAAAAAGAGATCATGCCAGTCAGCATCTTTTTGCTTGAATCAAGGGTACCAAGCTATTTCTGTCCACACGGCTGTACCTTTCACAGTCGAATATCTGATTAATTTCCTTTTCATTTATTTTGGTATTGCAACCCCTTTTTACATAAAATAAATCTCTTCCTCTACCTTTCCTCATATGTGACATAGCAGTTTCTTCAATGAAGAACTTGCTTGCTTTGCTACAGGCCTTCTGCATAGTTAAGTGAAATATTTTCAGAAAATGACTAAACACTGTTCTTAAAAATAACTTTCCCTCATGATTGTGCAAAGCCAGAAGCGGCCATAATCAACAGATGGAGCACAACTGCCAGTGTTTATTTCTTCCTTATACCCAGCAAAGATAGGTCAGATGTGGTTAGAATTGTGCAAGAATAGCCGCCAGGAGACTAGACATCATACATTTTGGAAATGGTTTATACATTTTTAGAATTTTTGATTTCTTATGTATCATTTCTGAAATTATTGGAATATGGTGTAATTAATAAATATCCAAATTAAAACAGATCATTTAAAAATGAATTTTCAAGAAAATCAGTTTCTGCTGAACAAATGGATTACCCATTTCATACGAGGAAATTACAGAAGGATGAATCTCATCCTAGTTTTCCACAGCCCATCCATTTCCATCTTGAAACTTTTTCCATTATCCTTCAGAGAGCATCTAGATTGCTCTTCTAATCCACTAGACTTCTTCTTGACACAAGAAGCGATGACATTTTTATATAAGAGATCTAGTGTTTGCTCTAGAAGAGCTCTGGAGGTGATAGACCCCAGGAAGAGCAGTAGAGGAGCAGGAAGATGCTGAGAGGTTCCTACATTTCTTTTCCGAACCTTGGCACAGTTTGGGTTTTGAAACAACATTCTGAAAGTTAAAGAAGTGTTAAGTATATCGGTTGTCTCCATATGCGTGTCAGACAGGCTTAAAGAAAATGCTGTTTCTCAGAGAGCATGAACTATTTTTTTTTGGTTTGTTTCCATTGTGGCAACGTCATTTGTATATGAAATTTAATTTAGAGCTAATTCCAGACATAAATCCTTAAGAGTAAGGGTTTCTAACAGAAACACGGAGGAAGATCTAAACATAGAGCACTAACTGGAAAGACTCATCACTATGTAATGTATTTAAAATTCCTTGCTCTGTAGCAAGAATGATTATTTCTATTATCTAATCTAACATGTAAATACCATGTTTTCAAAAAAAAAAAAAAGAAAAAACATTATAAAACATAATGTTTTTTCCAAGTATTGAGCTCATAGTTTTGCAGTCCTGTTATGAACTGCCCTGTCTTTAATGGTGAGTGGCCAGAACTGGTCCCACTTGCTTTGTAGTTTCTCTATAGCTGCAAAGTTTCCTTGAAGCTCCAGCTCACCTCTGTTTTCTTCTCTACCCCCAAACTCCCTTGTGTCTCTTCTTAGGAAGGTCTGTGTCAGTAGGAAGGTAGAGCGATTGCTGGCGTACGGCCCTGCTATAGAGGGCTGGTCCTGCATGCTCGTCAGGCAATAGAAGTTCTCAGTGCAAAACTTTAAATGTAGTCAGGCCTTAATCCAAGTTCAGATAAAATAGTCCTGCAGGCTGCAGTTAACTTTTATAACCATCGCTGAGCTCGGCCAGCTGGAACATGCCGTGAAGGCTGGGAGCTGACCCAGGCCACAGAGCCCGTGATTCCCTCTCCATCTGAGCAAAGGGGTGCTGGAAGCTGAGGGACCAGGGCGTTCAGTAGCACTGAGATTTGGGGTTGGAGAGGGGGAATCTGTGCAGCCATTCCTCGCTCTATGTCCTGCAGCGCACCCCACTGCTTCAACATTCCTCTAAGTCACTCTGAGAGTGACTTAGTCACCAGTCTACACTGGTGGAAATTTATATCTTCCACACATGAGAGCTGCTGTGGTTTAACTTCTTGGTGTAGGAACTCATGTACCCAAAGTGCTGTCAGTACAAAGGGGATTTAAACCATCACAGTCAGGCCTGAACAAGAAGCAGGGTCAACCACACAGGCCCTAACA